GTGTTAAGTTTTTGGCGCCGTTGCCGGGGACCTCTAGGCTATTGTAGAAACGTGAAAGTATGTTACTTTAGCATTTACTTTTATGCATCTCTCTTTTCCACCCTTGATTTTCACTTGGGTATTTTGTTTTTGTTGGTGCAGATCTGATACATGGATCCTCATGGCTTCTCCAATCATTGGGGGTATCCACCACCACCAGAGTGGTATTACCCCGAGACTTCCTGGAGCAACCAAGAAGGAGAAGACTATGGACTCGGGTTTCAGTACCAACCCCCTACTACGAAGAACAATCTCCTTATTAAGAAGAATTTCTCCCACAACCAGAAGGGCCATCAGATCTTGATTTAGACACAGCCTTCACGGGCCATCCGACAGAGCCATGCTACACTCCACAGCCAGATCCAAACCATCACTTGAGGCTTTTCGTGGAGCAGATTTCTCGAGTACCTGAGAGATCCTTTCCCGAGATGGATCCTCATATCCAGGCCATGGCCCAAACTGACTTCTCCTTACCCCGTGAACCAGAGGATACCCTCCGGAGCATAAAGAAGCACATAGAGGTCATTGAGAAAGATTGTGCACAGTTTTCTCAAGACAACCTTTATGATGCCATACAAGTAGAGGAGGAGGAAGAAGAAGGCAATCATGAGGATGTTGAGGAGCATACAGAAGTTGTCACGGAAAGCTCCCATGATAATCATGATCAAGTGTATCCTCTGGTGGTAGATCACAACTGTCCCCATTTCTGCTCTGATATGTTGGGCCCGAGCGAGGAGATGCAAGATGATCTCATTGAAGAAATTACATGGCGACTTGCTCTCCAATCTGTGCTAGAAGAAGAAGAGCGAGAAAGGGTGAGGGAAGAAGTTGTGGAGGATGAGGAAGAAAGCAAAGAAGAGGAAGTTCTTGATCTTTTCCAAGGGGAGAGACCACATTGTGAAGAAGGAAGGGGGGTTGAGGAAGCAATTGGAGTCCAGGCTGAGGATGAAGTTGAGGTGGAAGAGGCTTGCACCGGCCCTATGTTACATGTAATATCTCCACCAAACTTCGATGAGCTGCTTGGCAAGGACCCATTTGCAATGTCTCTTTGCCAGACCAAGACCACATCAACATCAATCACTCTTGGTGGATGCGATAGTGGTCAATCGATGATATATTATCTGGTTTGGGGAAATGAGACAAGAGCAAACGCGAAGGAGAGGTCTCGAGAGTGGAGACTTCATCTTCCTCAAGGCCACGAGCCATCTTCATCACCTATCACATCACCTACTTGTGACTTGAGACTCCACATCATCGACGAGAACCTCAACTTCAAGGAGGTTCTGGGGTGGACCAAAACTGAGGAGCCACCGACCTGCTAAGACGTAAAAGAAGCGCTTGTGGGGAGGCAACCCCACCAAGGTTTGTTTTTCTTTTGATTGTTTTTCGGTTTGTCCATTTGGAACTATGGTTTCTATCACCCAGTGTGTTTTGATGACTCTAGCCCTGCTAACTGGACCCATTTCCAACCCCCCGACAGTCCGTATTCCCGGTAACATCATTTCCCCTTATATTTCCTCTGCTCCATTGAGGGCAATGTCGTGCTTAAGTGTGGGGGTGTTTATCTATCATTGACTGCTAGATGAGTTTGTGTGCTTTGAGCCTAGTCCACTGTCCAATTTGATGAATTGAGGGCTCCAAGTACTGTTCCCTGCAAAATCCTGCTTAGTATGCTTTGAATTGACAGTCTTTATGGTGTTATTCAACCTCGGGAGGTAGTTGTAGCACTATGGAGGATGTTGAAGTATAAGATTTTTCCTACCTGTCTCTCTGCTGTGCCGGTTGATTTTGTGAACTAGTGGATTAAGGACCGTTGATTCATGTGGTATTGATGACTCCTCTTATGCTGTGTTGTGGGCTCGTGTATCGAAAAAGGGTACTCAAGTGTGAAATGAAAAAGCAGTTGATCCTCCATGTCAAAAATTTGAAATTCTAAGACATGGGGTAAGCCCAACGTGTGCGGCACCGTCCATTGCACAAAATCGGGTTTTGGAAGAGATTTTAGTGATCCTTGGTGGGGTAGGCCTATAAGGTGAAGCTAAGTTGTCTCTAGTACAAGTAAAATTTCCACCCGTTGAACGGTTGGCCTACTTGAGGATGTGTTTTTAAGGGCACGGATAGGGCTTCCGACCCCCCTTAATTTCATTGACCCTCCACATGAAGTGAGGAATATGAGTTAAAAGAAGTACTCTGGCTAGTGACAGATGTACAGAAATTGGTCTTGCTCACCCAATAAGGGCAAACCGCATATACAAACCGCAGTTGGAACCCCATCAAAGAAAAAACAACAAAACAAATAGTAAGAAGAAGGGATTCCAACAAGTGAAATGAAATGAAAGAGCACCTGATACAATGAGTCCTTGGTTGTTGAATTGTGTGAGTCTCCTTATCCATGAATTGAATGTCTTAGTTCCACTGCTTCTCATGATCCTGGCTTGAGTTTAGTTCTCGCATTGAGAGAGATAGGAGGCGTCTTAGAAGACCAGTTGACCTCGTAAGTTGCTAAATAATCTAGAAAAATCCTCTGCTGACGATCGGGGTTGCATGTTGCTATAGAGGTCTGGAGAGTTGTATTGGTTCGAGTCAGGTTTGCTTGGGGACAGTTTGATAGACCGTTAATTGCACATGTTTTTACCCTATTCTTGAGCGGTTTGAGATGTTGATTCTCGTGTTTTAGGCCGATTTCAAGCTAGGTTGTGCTTGTTTGTGATATTTCAGGTCCTAGTACGTGAATGAAGGTGTGGGAATGAGTTCGGGGTCGATTGGACGAAGATTGGACGTTTGGCGAGAAGCTGAGGAAGTCACACGTGCATGCCTAAAACCCACACGGCCGTGTAAGGGAATCCATGTGGCCATGTAGAAATTCCAGGGAACTCACACGGGCATCTTGGAAATCCACACGGCCGTGTGGTTGTTGCCGTGTAGGATAGCTGAAGTCCACTTATTGAAACGCCGCGTTTTGCACTACTCACACGGGCAGCTGGGAAAGCCACACGGCCGTGTGGCCTGCCCGTGTGGTCGGGAATTTCTGGGTTTTAACCCAAATTCGAGCGAAAGGAGAGGGAATCGACTTTTTGGAGCAAAAACAGAGCCCTAGAGAGAGAAAGTGCGAAGAACACCTCCTAAGAGTGGTTTTGGAGCTGGGTTTCATCAATCAAGCTTGGAAATCATCCTTGGAGTGAAGATCATCATCCCATAGCAGATTCTTCCCATTGTTATGAGTATGACTGCTTTGTTTGCTGTTTTCCTCTCTCTCTCTCTCTCTATGGAGTAGAACCCTCTCTCACTTGGGTATGAAGAACCCTAGTTCTATGTGTTAGGGATCATTGTTGTAACGACTTTTGGATTGTGACATTGCTTGATTATAATCGATTGAAGTGTTTTGATTGAGTCAATTGAAGTCTGATAACCTTTTATTGATTTCTGCTGCAACCTGAGATAGATAGAATCTGATTAGGTTGTTAGAGCTTCTTCAATCGGTAGTAGTGAATCGATTATACGAGAGTTAGTCGATTCACTGCTTTGTACTGGAATATTATTCCAGTAGTGGAGTTCTGTGTTCATTGCCTCAGCGTTCTATCCCGGTGAAGACTAGTCGTCTGCCAGGTAGTTTGACTGAGAGGGCTTGATCAGCTTAAGAGATTCCAAGCTAATGTCGGATCTTCCGCAGTATAATCAGTAGTAAAGCAACCAAAAGTAATTACAACTGTGACCTAATTAAGGAGCTAGGGGGACTCATTCCCGAGTGACTCTTCCGTTGCTTTAGAAAACCGAATCAATTCCTGCTTTTTTACTGCTTTTAATTAAAACCACAATCAATCTACTTAGTTGGCTAGATAATAGATATTCACGGAGTAGGCAGTAGATCTAGACCCCGGGTTGATAATTAGAAATTGCCACGTTACTGCATTTCTGGACTGCGATTACACTTGGTCGCAGTTTGGTGTTGTGTCGTAGCGTGTTAAGTTTTTGGCGCCATTTTCGGGGACCTCTAGGTTATTGTAGAAACGTGAAAGTCTGTTACTTTAGCATTTACTTTTATGCATCTCTCTTTTCCACCCTTGATTTTCACTTGGGTATTTTGTTTTTGTTGGTGCATATCTGATACATGGATCCTCATGGCTTCTCCAATCATTGGGGGTATCCACCACCACCGGATTGGTATTACCCCGAGACTTCCTGGAGCAACCAAGGAGGAGAAGACTATGGACTCGGGTTTCAGTACCAACCCCCCTACTACGAAGAACAATCTCCTTATCAAGAAGAATTCCTCCCACAACCAGAAGGGCCATCAGATCTTGATTTCGACACAGCCTTCACGGGCCATCCGGCAGAGCCATGCTACACTCCACAGCCAGATCCAAACTATCACTTGAGGCTTCTCGTGGAGCAGATTGCTCGAGTACCTGAGAGATCCTTTCTCGAGATGGATCCTCATATCCAGGCCATGGCCCAAACTAACTTCTCCTTTCCCCGTGAAACAGAGGATACCCTCCGGAGCATAAAGAAGCACATAGAGGTCATTGAGAAAGCTTGTGCATAGTTTTCTCAAGATAACCTTTATGATGCCATACAAGTAGAGGAGGAGGAGGAAGAAGAAGGCAATCATAAGGATGTTGAGGAGCACACAAGTAAAGGTAAATCACCAACAATATGATACATTCGAGATTAAAAGATAAATACTACGTACTTGGATGCGTTCTCAACTTCTATAGAGTAATCTAATTCACTAGTTAGGCTCTTCTCAAATTCATTAGCATAGATGGGAATGTGTCTTATTGTTAATATTTATGTTTATGAACATATTATTAACATGCTATAAGATGCTCTACTTTAAGCATGAATTGCATCTATTTATTAACTTATCTAAATTCGGTGCATTCATATTCTACATAGTATATGTCGTACTTAATAGATTTTTAGTTATTTTACAATATGCGTAAAAAACTTACGCTTTTACGCTTAGATTCTACGCTTTACGATTTTACCCTCTTTCCGCGTCTAAATAGAATCGCACTTTTGACTGCATTGCGACCTGGCAGAAAGTAATCCCCGACCGGAGATTTGGGTGAGAAGACCGGATTTCTGAGGCAGGAAATTTCCCCGACCTGGAAGAGTAAGATACCTGATCGGGTATTTAGACCGAGTTTCGGGTCTGGCCAAGTTTGGCCTTCCTTTTAGGTTTAGGTTTTTGTTTCCTTTTGGGTTTTTGGTTATTTTATTTGCCCTAGACTATATAAAGGGTTCTAAACACAAATTTTAGACATTAGAGAATTTTGTTGAATGAAATTTAACTCTGAGGAGTTCTCACATTGAGCATGAGTGCTTATGGTTTATTGTTTTAGCTATCGGTGGATTCCATAGCTAGGGCAAGATTCTTGTTTGAGTTTTCTGTCGAGGATTCTGAAAGAGTTTGTCAAGACTCTTATCAATCAAGCGATCACACTTGATTGTGGCGAGTATCTACCCTCACGTATCCTTTATTGTTTGAGTTTTCGAGAGAAAATCCAGAAAACGGCTAAATTACACGATTGGTCACTCAAATTATACAAATCTTTCACGTTTGCCGCTCGAATTACTTTTCTTTCTGATTCTCCACGAACTTTACGAATCATTTGACAGTCAATACCAGTCGTTAGTTTCTGTTAGATTCTGTTAACTCCGTCAACTTTTTGATGATGTGACAAACAGAATTGCTGATTGTACCGTTAACTTAATGCCAAGCCAATTTTAAAAAATTAAAAATTAAAAAAACTAGTTTGGTACCCGGTCCGTTGGCCGGGTAAATTTTGTTTGAAATATGTACTTTGGTAATTTTTTCCTCCTAAGGTGTCTATTTTGTTCAGTCTGTCATTGTCCTCTCTCATTTCGAATCCTGTATACCTTTGAGTCCGACCAGTTGGCCGCTAAATGATTTTTTTTAAGGTAAATTAGTTTGTACTGCACGACAATATTTTAGCACCCATGAAATTGTTGTGCATTATTATTATGATATTACAAAATTAAACATTGATATTATTTAGTAACTCAGTAGAATAAGAAATTTGTTCTGCGATCTATGTTAATATATACTTTATGGCGGTACAATCGAATGATATTGATATAGTTTCGCAACTATCGAATAGGAACATGCCTTGTATATATATGATTGTGGCTATGTTTAAAAAAAACATATATCAAAATGGATATCCTTGCGTAGATCACATAAAATCTGATTTTTTCGCGCAATAATATTTAAATTTGGAGTTGAAGCGAATAAATATGGATCAATTAAGAGTAGTAGGGGAGATTTAAAAAGAAGAGAGAGAGAGAGAGAGAGAGAGAGTTAAGTGGCACAGTCTAATTGGGGTATAGAAAAACTTAAAATAAAAAAAAGGAGTTAAGGAAAAATCTGATTGGTCGGAAGGGTGCTGACGTGGATGCGTAGGAGGGCTGAAATTTTGAAATGGTGAAGGTAGTTTTTAGAAAAGCCTTTATATATTTTATAGATAGATAGATAGATAGATAATAATAACCTTCCCTTCTCTCTCCTAACCTCTTCGCCACTACTTCTCAGTCTCTCTCTCCATCTGCTCTCACCCGCTGTTGCCGCCGTCCAAAAAAAGAAAACCACCAGTTATCGTCCGATTAATCTCCGCCAAGGAGTAATTCAAGGTTTGTTAGCATAAAAACAATTAATCGTATGGACGGGAAGCCGAATCGCAGATATGCGGAAGGGGCAGGGGATTGGGATCCAGCAGGAGACTCTGATGGAGTCGATTAAATCAAAGGTGAAGGGCGCACTACTGCGGAAGTCGGAGAAGAAAAAGTCGTACGTTAAGATGGACAAGAGCGCCAGCGTCAGATAAGGAGTGTTTAAGCTACTACAAGCCCATTAAAAAATTTCTGCCTCCAGAGCATTCAAGCTACTACAAGCGGTAGATAAAGTGTTTAATTTTGTGTCTTACTTTGATCCAACCTATTACTATATAGGAGGTTACCCTAATTTTTTCGTTTGGTCTGAAGTTTTTATGGTCTTCGTTTAGTGAGTTGTTAGTTTATGGTTGACTTGAGGGCAACTTTTCTTATCCTCTTAGTAGTGGCATGTTGCTCTTAAATGAAAGCATTAAACCCTTTGTGTAGGTTGTGAGGTTTCAGTTTCGTTTCAAACTATCTATGTATTGTGTGGAATTCCAGTGAGCTTTTATACTCTTTCTTGGCGATCAACCAACCAATAGCATTTTAGTGGGAGCTTAATTATCATTATGCAAACGAGATTAAGGATGCATTTTTTATATTCTTAAACGATTAAGGTATTTCTCCGAATTTCCGACCTATAATCTTTACGTATCATCAAAGGATTGTCAATATACTTAAACAGGTTGACAAACTTAAAGGTAACATACAAATATAAATAACAAATATGAACATTCTGGCCAACGGGCCGGGTTATAAGCTAGTACTTTAATTAATACCAAGATGAGAAAACAGCAACCTCAATTAAAAATTCCTGCCTTCATAGTGTTTTGTGGAGGGGCATTTTGGGGAGTGGAGAAAATTATATTTTCGGATTGGGGGCTGCAGATAGGGGTGGGCACGTGGGTGGTTAATCCGCGGATTGATATCGATCCACCCGCAAATAACCCGACCCGCAAGTAGTGGGTGATTGATGTGGGTCGATTGCGGATTGATAAATCTTCCACCCGCATTTATGTGGGTGGGTGGGTGGTGGGTGGATTGCGGATCACCCGAATTTGCTATGAGCTTATTATAAATGTTAGTCAACTTTCTTAATGGCTTGTTGGAGAATTATTTTTGCGGGTTAATCCACGACCCAAACGCATCCATCCGTCACCCATCCGACCCGACCCGTAGAAGAATGTGGGTGGATTGTGGGTAATAATTATTCCAACTCGCTAGTAAGCGGCTTGGTCAATTTGAGGCGAAAATCCACCCAACCCGCTAGGGGTGTTCAAATGGTTACCGTGGTAATAACCAAACCAATTAAGCTTAAATTTCATTAACCATGGAATAAAATGTCTTAACCAAACCGTCCAAATTAACACGAAAACCAAATTAACCAAACCAAAGTTTAATTGGCTTGGTTAATCCAATAATCGGATTAACCAAATAACATAACATTACATGAAAACAATTATCTTGTTAATGAATAAAATATAACCATATGATGTTACTATCATAAACTATCATTTTATATAAGCAATAATAATAAGACTAATCATCCATGATTATCATCGTCATTCGAGTTAATACATCATTCATCATCTTTGCACCTAATATAGGTAGCTTACAACAAACCCCTTAACATAAATACATACCAATACCCCTCATCATGAAGTTAATGCTCTTCTACAAAACACTTAAACTATACATAGTTTGAGGTGGCTTTCATGGTATTGTACGTAATCCTAAAGCCTAGTAGTTTTCCAAAATGTTCCAGTTTAGTAAATATAGGCAGACTCATTGAATTTTTAACCAATAATATTTTGTTTTTTTGTGCACATGGAAATAAAATAGGGAATCACGATAGTTTAATTTGGTTAGTTGCATGGAAGTATAAATAATTTTGTATATTAGGTACATCATTAATTGATTAATTAGTTTCATTAGTTAGTAGTGTTGAAACCAAACCACCTAAACCAAATAAGCTAAATTGTTTAACCAAACCAAACCAATTAACCAAATTAACCAAATGTTACCAGTTAATATGGTTACCACGGTAACCAATCCGTTTGAACACTCCTACAACCCACCTATTGCCCACCCCTAGCTGCAGATGTATTGTTTGGGCCTGATTTCTGTCTCGGCCCAATTGAGACAAGTGGTCGTTCTCAAAGAAGCTTGCTTTGGTTTCTGATGCCCGTTCATTGATCTTCTGGACCGCTGACGCCGCCGCAACCTTCTCGCCATCACAGTGATATTGCAGTGGTTGTCCGTAGAGAAACTTGCTGCTGAGTAAGGCTTGGTTAATGCTTTGGTGAAGTAATGCTTTCACGGACAAAGGGTTAAAAATCAGGGAAAGCAATTTGGTCAATCCTTTATTGTCAGACAGGTTGGGATCGTGGTCGGTAAATCTCGGGTGAGCTTTCTACTTCGTTCGTGGAGTTATTGGCTTCCAAGAATGTAGGCGATAACAAGAGGCCAGCCCCGACGGGAGGCACCTAACCGCAGGGCAGCAGCGCAATACCCGCCAGATATGTCCTCCGCCGACGAAGAGCGGATTGAAGAAGGGGATTTGGGTGCCAGCGATTTGAAGCAGCGGTTGCCGCCAGATATGTCCTCCACCGTCGAAGAGCGGATTGAATAAGGGGATTTGGGTGCCAGCGATTTGAAGCAGCGGTTGAGGGATCGAACCAACGTTATTTATGAAATCTCTGTGGATTGGTAATTTCACTGTCTGTTTGCAGCTTGAAGTAGGAATTTTTGGGGGTTGAGGGTTCTGTATAGATGAAGTCTAGGTCTTATTGTCTTCGGGATTTTGATGTGTCTAGGTTGTTAACATCCTCTCCAAATCGGTTCTCAGTGCTCGGTGGAGGTCGCAGTAATGGTATTGGTTGGTTCCTCTTGCAATCTCTTCTTTCCTTCATGTATCGATCTCATCTTTCCGTCATGTATTGGTTATAATCGGTTGAAAATTAGCTTATTTTGTTGTCCGTGAGTTTCAGTGATAGGAGGTCCAGATCGAGTCAGTAACTGATGGGTCAGTAACTTATTAGTAATCCCTTCTATGGTCCCCACGTGTCAGACACTTTTTTATTTAAATTAAATGTGAAAAGAGCAGTACAATAAAATTGCACTTTCTCCTATTTATTGCTAAGGCTGACTTTTGACCGAACCACATCAGCGCCTCCTTCTCTCTCCTCGCAAAACATTTAATTTTCCTTCCCTTAATCTTTAACGGACGATTTCTCACCCGTTTTAAGTCGAAATTTAATTTTTTTTGCATAGTTAGATCAGATTA